TGGTTTCAAAAAGAGCGAAGAAAAATATCATTCAATTGTTTGAATTATGTAGGATTGTACCTCATTACTTGTGAATTAAGAATATCTTTGTATTATTATACAAATATATAGGAGTGGATTTGAGTACAAAAGGCAGTAGTAGGTGATAAAGAAATAAAAGTAATTAATTTTGTTTCTATAAAAAAAAAAAAAGTTATTCCAGTAATAAAACATATTGCAGTTGAATATTTAATCATCGAGAGAGCAATCATATCGGGACTGTTTAAAAATTGAAGATTCTTATTAAAAATTTCGCATTGGGGAATTCTGATTCGATGAATTATTAAAATACGTGAGAAGGAAGTCGATTTTAAAATAGTCCTCATTGGAATTGAAAAAAAAAAAAAAAATGAATATTTCACGAGAGATAAAATTGAATATGATCAACTTTTAATCGATATTTCTTAATATTTATCCTATTAACCGCGATATCAACTCCATTTCGCTCGAAATCGTCTTTCGAATCTTAAATTTAAACCGATGTTCGGTCGACATCAGTTAATCTTACTTAACGAATTTCTACTTACACAAGATGTTTCCAATCAAGTTCACTTCATCACAGTCAACTTCCTGCAAACTCATAAACAAAGTTCGAGCCCCCATCGACTGCAAGAAGTATAGCATCTTCAAGTTTCATTGTACAATTTCAATACGACCATCTGTTTTATGCACACACAGATATACGTATACAATAATATATTACGTTAAAATAAATATTCTATTTCTGTTATTCTTCTCATTGATTAATTATTTATTTATTTATAATAAGGTTATATCGATCAATTAATAATTTATATTGTCTAGTTCTCGATATTTTTAGATATTATAATACGAGAATAAACAATGGACGAATAAAATAATAAATGAATAATTAAAAGATTCTTCAGGAATCATACGTTAAATTATGCGTACGTTTGTCAATTAAACACGAAATAATCTAAATAGTTATATCGTTAATTACACGCGTCATACAATTTAATTGGAACCGATTATTAAACGCGCATCACTTTTTGCACATGACTCATCTGCTGTAATATTCCTTCATTAACGAAATAAATAAATAATCATTAACGTGATTATATCAAAATCGTTGTTGACACACGATCGCGAAATAATAACACACGGTTGATTTGTAAATTTAATATAGAGAATGATGACTTTAATTTATATTTGTTTAATTTTAATTATTCGCTTTATTAAAAATATCTTCCTTCGATTAATAATATTTCTCTCGCTCCGTCAATTCAAACAATCGTTTAACAATTTAATAAAGCCTAATAAATGTTCTTCGAGTGAATTATAAATATATAATTATACAAATTGGAAAGTAATTTAAAATATTTTAAAAAAGCATCGAAAAATCAATAAATAACGATATAATTTTGGAAATGTATTCTTTTTCTCATATCACAGATGCAATCTCTTCCAATCTGATGTTACATCATAAACACGTTCGTATAATAGAAACTCGACCAAGATTTCGAGTAATCAGGCACCGTGTTCGAAATTTCCTTCGAATAAACGCGATTCCAATCAAGCAAACAAAGAAAAAAGCGCCCTCATTCGCGCGAGTCAAAGTCAAAGATGGCCGCCTCGGTCCCGTGACAATTCGTGATTTTCCAACGCGTCAAAGTCTTTCATCGCCCGTACTTTCCTTCGACGCTTTGTAAAAGGAGGATTACTCACACGACAAACTCTCCAGTTTTCCAGAGAGTCAAACTTTCCTTCATTCGTCTTTAACTCGGTCGCGTTCACGAAGAATCTTATACGATCCAACTCTATAATTATTCAAATTATTTATTCGTTAAACCTAGTCGAATTATATCTACATGCTTAACAATTAAATCGATAGACCTGCATTTCTTCCAAGTTTTCTAGATTTTTCTTTCTGAATTCGTAGGAACGTTCTTGCGAAAAAAGGCAAGGATCTTTTGATATTTAGAGATCAATTTTAAAATCTTCATATAGAATCTCTAATTCATACTCCTATCTAAATTTCTTCGAATCACAAAAATACTCGAATATAACTTATTACACGCACAGAATGTGCAATCAAACTTTTCTACATCCACATAAAATGCTCGGAAGAAAACTATACTCTTCATGCTCCATCTTTAACGCACAAACGTCGTTGAAAAATTATCATCCCTCCCCATCTTCCTTCATCATCCTTCCCAGCGCAGGTATCAATAAAATACTCGAGATCTCGACAGAGCCGCCTTCGAATACGGCCATAAATCAAATTTTCTTTCCCCCTCGATAACATTGTCTTGACGAGGAAACGATAGGAAGCGAAAGCTGTTGGAGGGGGTGGAGGGAAGAGGCTTTCGAGCAACTTTAACTCTTAATCTAGTACCAACGATTTTGCGTTTCCCTCCCCACGAGCTTGTATGGATATATAACTTCGTGGAAAGTGTGGAGGGGAGGGGAGAGAAGACTCGGCGGAAACTTTTTGAATCGAGACAGGTAACTGGGCGCGCGATGGCGATTTGTTTGGCCGGGCGAGGGGCACGCGAGAAACGTGTATCAGCGATAAATTATTCTAATCTACGGCTCTGTCGCCGATTCCTCATTCTTTAATCTCCGTTCCGTGTTCGATTCTATCTTGGAGGGGGAATTTTCCAGGCTAAATCTTCGATTTCACTTAGTCAGTGTCGGAAGAGGAGAGAAGGGAGTGATGAGATCGTAATCTCAGGCGTTGTAATAGGAAGAAGAAATTTGAATATATATTTTTTTTCTTTATTATCTCTTGTTGAATTATTATGAATTAAGTGATAGAGCGAATTATTTTGCTTGTAAGAATGATTTTAAAAGATCAGGGGAATTATTTGGAATCGAAGTAATTGTGAAATTGTTATTGCAAATAATTGATCGATTATTTATAGATCACGTTAGAAACATTCCATTCGACGATATAATATATAGTAATATTTCATTTACATCGACAACTATCCTAAATCACAGAGCGCATTGGGTAATCCCAGTCAGTAGTTACGGGCTGATATAGATCAGGCATACCACGCCGTGCCCCAGTGATCCATACTTAATATTAACCCTACAGCGTTGTACACGAGATACGGGATACGATACAGGATATATCGCCTCAATGGTATCTTCTATTTTACCAGGATTAAAGATGCGTATCTTGGATAGAAATTCACGGCACGATTTCTCATAAAATAGACACGGAAATTATCACCATCTCGTGAGTGAGAGAAAAGAAAAAAAAGGAGGGAGAGGGAAGGAGACAAATTATCGAAGATCATTCGGTTACGTTATTATTTATTAAATGATATTGCGACGATTACTCGACAGAGATAAATGGGAAAGAAATTCATGCGGGGAGAAGAAAGGCGCGAATCGAGAAGAGTGAAATCAAAAAGAGGAAAAACTGGCAGAAATAAATCACGGAATATTGCATTAAGGGAAAGTTGCGTTGAATGATATTCATTAGGGAGATGCGTTCATTTTTCACGAGTTACTAAATAAAAAAAAAAAAAAAGAATAAGGAAAGAAAGAAATCTCACGTGTTATGGGGGATGGAATGCTCGGTGGAAGGGGGGGATGGAAAGATGTAAAAAAGAAAAAGGAAAGGGGGCTACACATTTCACACACGAATTTTAACGATCATAGTTTTAACGAAAAAGCCTTTTTCACCGGTGTGATTTATGACTTAAAAGTAGCAAGATCGTAATTCACCGACGATTTTGATTCCCTTCGTTTATAATTCATAGATCATGCTTAACTTTCGTAAACTTTACGCTGTGAAATTGAACGTTCCAGGAAATTCTAGGTATCATCCGAAAAACATTAATCTTCCCTTACCATCCATTATCCAGTTGGTGGATTGGCGGAAATCGTAACTCGTTATTTAATCATCCTGCGTTTCAAACCATCTTTTGAACGCACCTCTTACGACAGCTTTGTGTGTACATTAAACGGTACAGACGCTACTCGACTCATGGACCGATTTATCTTCGACTTTGTTTCCCTTTGTGTACACGGCGCGCGTACGAAACGTAATGTGTTCACAACTTTAAACGGAACGGTCCATTTCGTCGTCTTCTCGCGCGCACAATGGCTACCGATTAAATTTACACGACCCACTCTTCGAGGGCCAAGTTCCTCGAAGTCGCGGTTTAGATCCACGGCTTGACAATGGTTGGTGTAATGATTCTCGGCTGTTGAGTCAGCCGATGTTATCGTTAACTACGAGTTAAGATCCTCTGGAGGGTGTCGAAGCTCTTAACATCGAGGAAAATATCTATTTAATAATAATATCTAAAACTTTCTAGAACGTATATTTCAATAATCTCCAATCTGCAATGGAATTGCAGCAAGGATTATTTCACCATTTATATCTCGTATTTCCCCTTTGAAAAAAAAAAAAAAAAAAAAAAACTCTGATATCTGTTGAGGATTGTTGGATAAAATCCCTAGGCAGAAGAAATCTTTAAATTACTCCGTGAAAATAAATTTACTTTTGTTCAAAGCGGATGTCTCATGCATACACCGAGGGAAGGAAATGAAAACTTTGCAAAAGCTATAAATTCAATTTCGAGATGTTCAGAACGATTCTATCTTTCCCTTCTTAAAGGGAAACGTTCAATTCCGGAGCGGAAACAATCAGGAGGGAGGGGAGGCACGCGCGAAAAGAATGCTAAGGAGGACGCAAGGGGGTCGTATTTCACACCCTTTCGAGACTTCCTTTCCTAGAGAGGATCCTCTAGACGAGATGTCCAGATAAACGAATACACGATTCGTTTCGCCAGGATTATTCTCTTTGGATCGAGACGATAGATAAAAGAAAACGCTTATCCCTTCTTCAGAAAGAATTAAAATTGGATCGAAGAATGCGCGATCAAATGTATAACCGAAAAGTAATGATAGATTGATTTTCAGCAAACTTGGAAGAAAAGAATTAAAAATTTTGCAAAGGTGTACGCACGATGAACACTTACCATGAACATCGAGCTTGATGTCGACGGTGAGAGGCTCGACGAGGGCTGTACTGTTGACTTTACACGTGAAAGTTGTATTGAGCTCGTCGCGTGTGATTTGCATCTGCAGCAAACTACTCGCGTTCCCTATTCCGCTCTCGGCTATCGTCGTCGTGCTGGACGCTGAAACAGGCCCGATCAAACGTGTGTTCAGATATGCGTTTCTATATCGAGTTTCTGCAAGGTACAACAAGGGGTTGATTGTTTGGGAATGATTTCGAATCTGAGCATGATGATGAGTGTCGGTGCGCGTGGAATTTGACGAGAGAGGATTCGTGATCCTTTCGAAACGATGTCAAATGTATTTACTGGTGGATTAAAAAAGAAATTGTTTTTTCTTTTCTTTTTGACTTATATAATATATGTTCTCAGATTGATTATCTTCAATTTTTCGAAACGAAATTCCAAATTTTTTTGAAAGTAAAAAAACTTGAAAAATTATTTGGAAAGAAGACGCGTAAAGATTTGTGTAACACGTTAATTGTATTCGTCTCTTTCAATTTTGATTATCAGTATTAATATCTGTACACATATCAGGAGGAATCACGTGATCAAGAATCAAGATTTCTCTACAATAATATCGAAATTGAGATACGAGTATCTAATATACTTCGTAACTCGACACACTATGATTTGCTTGTAACATGAGCGACGGTTCCTATTACCGTGGAATACGCGTGACGAATACGAGATTCTTGTTTCTAAATAAGATGTCGGGATATACCTTAAGAATCTTGTTGCTAGTAAAATAATTTTCACAACTAATTAAAGCTTTCACGTTAAAAAAACTCATATTTTGAGAAATATTCTTACGATTATATAAAAAAAAAAAAAAAAAAAAATAAAAAGAAAAATCGAAAAAAGGGAAAGAAGGGAAAAAGAGTATTGCGATTTATCTGTAAGCTTTACCTTCCACGGGTTGCTCGTTCTTGAACCACTCGACCGTAGGCACTGGTTTCCCCTCGCCGCTCTCGCAGTACAAGGAAATCACGGAGCCTTCGTTTATAGGCCCTAAAGTGGCGCCGGTGCTTAACGTCTTCCTCGTCGTCTCGTCGATGACACGTACGAATGCAGGTTGAACTGTGAAGAGAGAAACGAGAATTCGGTCAATTACACGGTTAAAAAGCGTCTTCGATTCGTTCCACTATTATTGGCCACTGTTCAGCACACAGGCCCCTGTTTATCGAACAGAATCTCACGTTGTTTGGTTAGGTCCCCTCCTCCCCGTCGACTTCCTCGAAAGCAAACCGAACGATTCAATATTGATTGCGAATACAAGTACGCTTAGTTATAACAGTCAGTTTAATCCCCTATCTGTATTAATCTCTCGTCGGTCGATTTGAAACTTAAGAATCATGTATGTATCTTTGACTTTTTTTTAATTTGTTATATTCGTTTGTATATTGTTTATAATTGCTTTTAACAGAAATTTATACGAGATAAAATTGGAGGAAAGCGATAAGATGATTTTATCTTGAACGTATTAATTAATTTTGTAAACGTATATTAATTTTTAATTTTTGTTTCATTGTTTATTTGTTCAATTTTTATGCTCAAAATCATGGAAATTATTGTAAATTCTTGAATTCATCTTAATTTGATCTATGTAATTTTTTGGTTGGAAATTTATGAGAAAATCAAGATTGAAAAATATCTGTGATTTTTTCATGAATCCTCTTCAGATTGATAAGATAGAAAAATTGAAATTAAATAATATTAGGTTTTCTGTATCGATGCTTAATAATTTATATTTCATATTAATACCATTATCTTCTCAATGTCTATTATTATATAAAAGTTCATAAAAAATCACAACATGGGATACATTTCTGGATCTCTCGTCTAAGATACAAGTTACCTTAATTAATCTGAATTATTCTAACATGATTTTGAACAGAAATTCAATTCTTGAATCTAAAATATATCCTTATATATATATAATTTTTAATTATATCTCACATTATTAAATAAAAATGAAGGAATTAAAATTATTAAATTTTATATTAAATTAATAATTGGTTAACTTAATAATAGCAAGATATATAATATTCACACAGATTGAAAGATGTATAGATAGGAAGATAGCTTTTAAATGTATAATGTGATCTAATTCTTTATTTTAATCTGTATTATAAATATCATATTAAAATCAAATTTAATTTTGATGTAGAATAAGATAAATGGTATAACCGTATTAAGATTTGAATTTGTGAAATATTTTAAATGAAAGATTCCATGAAATTCTTTAGTCGTGCATATTTTAATACAAACTCGGCAGATACACGTATAGAAAGTGAAGACAGAAATACTACAAAAGAATGACAGATTGACCGACGAATTTATGCGATAATAAATGTCAGATTGAAATATATTTTCAAATATTTTGGATTAAACGAATATTTTGAAAATCTTTGCGAAAGCTAAATGGCCATGTGATATATGTGTATATATAGAGTGTATGTATAGAAGAATAAATCTTCTTAAGAGTGAACACTTGGTGTAAAATTTGGAGAGTTTGGAGGGGAAAGTTTAGAGAGAAAAAGAAGGAGAAAGTTTTGAAAGCATTAGAAAAATGAGTATTAGATGTGTCTAGTTTCAATCATATTTATCGAGCTACAGATATGTTAATATAATATTGTTATATTATAAGATATTATGAAAACAATTGTTTCGAAAGAACATACAATACAAAAATTGCAATACTTTTATATATAGCTTTAATGAATTTAGACAATCCTCATATAAATACAAATGTTCACGTGTTTTTTGTCATTTCTCTCATTTTCAATTTTAATTATTTTCGTTTAAACTATTTCGATATGTCAAAAAATTAATTTTTAATGATTTTATAAGAGAATTGAGTAATTAAAATAAATAAATAAATAAATAAATTCGTTATTGACATAGAATGCTATTAAAAGAAAATTCTAATAATAATTCAATTACCGATCATTCAAGGAATATTGAAAATTCATATATATATTTCTTTTTTCCTCCATTTCAACATTAATTGTGTCCAATATTCGATGGAGAAAAAAAAATCGAAACGGTCAATTTTGCTCTCGCTCATGTTTTAATTTATTTAAATTTCCGTTTAATTTCCTGTTCATCAATCTCGTTTCTCGTCGATTAATAGCTAATCGATATCGTCGCACTTCTAATCACGCGAACTCCCATAAATTTCGACTTTAATATCGAATATCAATCTCGTCGCCTTTGTCTCACGAAAGAATATTTCGCTCGATTAACGAGTGAATAATGAACGTTTTAATAAATTTTCGATTAGCGAATAATCAATGATGTTTTCTTATATATAGTTTCATTAGTTGTCTCGTCCATTTCCAACAACTGGAATTTTTTTTGCGAATAATGATGCATTATTCTTAAAGAATAATCTAGAATTTGGTATGTTTATTATTATTAAAAACGAAGATTTATAAGCGAAAATTTTTGTAATTTTATTAAATTGTACGAGATAGGTATAGAGAGAGATATCATGAAAGTGAATTGAATTTTTAAAACTACGAAATATTGTTTACGATTTATCAAAAAAGTTTACGAAGAATTTTTATTTATCTTTAAAAAAACTTACCGAAAATTCTAAAGTTTCTTCGTTGTTCTACGAAAATGATGTGCATAATATGCGGCGCTGTCATGTTATACCCTTATTACATTTCCTCACCATATAGTTTCAAACTTTAATCTTCCATTTCATATTATCATCAGATCTTGACACTTTTGAGTAAACTAACAAAGTATAATTACATTCACTTTCATCTTCCTCAAATATACACAATGAATAATATAATTTTTCCCAAGATTATGTACAATTCCTCAAATTTCCCATTTTTAATCATTAAAACGCTCTTACATTCCTTCTCTGTTCAAGTTTATAATTAATATGTTAATTTTCACCAATATTATCCCTTTATTTTCATTTCAGTAACAATTTTTTTACACATTTATGTATCTTTTTTTCTTCTTTCCACTAAATTTTACTTAATACACCTCATTCACGAAATAAATAATTATTTCCAACAGCCCAATTTTTATTCCTAGTTCCAAAAATTTCCATTTTTAAAATTTATTTACTTTCCAACAAAATTAAATTCGAATCTGAACTCTGAACGATTTTCTTCTTTCAAAAACCCTTAAAAAAGAACTCGAATACGTCAACGTTCAAATCTACTGCTCACGACTAATCCCATCACCAGTAGTATCAAACTTTATCGCGCCTTCAACACAAACCGCCCCCTATCCCCAACTCAACAAAGCACCCTCTCTATTCCCCTATACATTTCGTTCAACGCCATTCACACACCCGCCAACCATCCTTACCCCTCCCTTCACAACTGTGAAACCAATGGCGACACTTTCATCGAAACATCCCATTCTAAACACAGAACTAAGAATACCACGAGTTATTATTCACCACGCCAGCCCAACTTCCGTGGCACTCTCGAAGCCAGTCGCTTCGGTAAATCGTGCGGAAAACTTGGACGGATCATAATACTCGGAGGAAGATCCTCCTCCTTGTCCCCTATTTCCCTCCTTCCCCCTCCTCTCCACACCCTACTGAACTCAATATCATCCCCCCGTGAAAGGCACGTCTGCGGGGACGTTTGAAACCCCGGCTTTCTTTTTTCTTTTTTTTTTTTTTTTTTCTTTCAATTCAGGATTCCCTTGGACACGGTCGGCCATTGTGCGAGGGGGAGGAGGGGCGGCAAAGGCGAGGGCTCGGTTTGAAAAAAACGAGGCGGACCAGCTTTTTTCTCGGGCCCGGGCTATGAATAAACTTTTCAACGCGTACAAGTGGCGCTTCCGGGTGCGGAGCCCCGGCTGAATTCACCGCGAGCCACTGAATGTCAAGTAACTGTTTTCCCTGGGAAAATTCATCTTGCGAATTTACGGCGACTTTTTATTGGCCAGTCGAAGGGGAAGCGACGAGCGCGTGCACGGACTTGGGCACTGAGGAAGGGTGGAGGAGGATCGATCCTGTGATGATGGATGCCGCGGATGACAGCTTTGAAGAAATTTTATTCTCTTTTTTTTTTTATATATTTATGTTTGTGTTTTATATAGAGAGAGAGATGATAATTCAAGAAATAAGGAATCTAAGAATATACGTATATACGTTGATATATATTTCTTTGGATTTAAAAATTTAGAGTAATTTTGAAAATCGTTTTTAATAGTGAAGCTAAGACGAGCTAGATGTATGTCTATCTTTTTATTATTATTATTTACTCTAGAATCGAATAAATGGAATTCTAATCTCGTTACAACGATAGATGGAATTATTTAGAAGATGAAGTATAAACGAGACTCTAGGAGGTAAATATCTCTCCTTGGCAGGCTTCGGTAATTGGAACAGCTTTCCAAAGATCATTGTTTGCAAGGATGTAGGCAAACTAAGAACTACACCATATCTAGTAGTTTAGATTAGACTTTGCGAAAATCCCTTTGGGTCTCTCTATTTAGACTACTGGATTACAAATACAAGTTACTTTGATCCCAAGATGTACTATATCTCATAATAATTAAGTGGTATTTATTACACAAAATATATGACAATTTTATACATTTGAATCGGAAATTTTCGTGGGACGAAAACTATCTTCACAACGATATCTGATTATCTAATGTTCAATAAATTTCTAATTTTTCTTTCTCTTTTTATTTCAGGGTTAATGAACCCTAATAAAAGTAAATCCCCCTAAAATTAACGTCCATTGCACATCCAGCCATCGTTCGTGAGTAGTTATTTTCGTAAAAGGAGAAGAAAAGCGCGAGATGCAGTTATATCAGAGAAGTGTATCACTTGTCACAAGCCTCGCCAGAGAGTTTCTCTAATCTAGCAAATCGCTAGGTCCCTGTGCAGCGATTTCACGATACGAGGTGAAATGAGCTTCGAGAGAACGAAAGTGGATGGCGGAGACTCGGAAGGAATACGAAACACGGAATGAACAATGTTGTAAAATTGCGAATGGAATACGAATTGAAATTATAACAGATATTATAAATTCATTTATATTTATAATAATAGAATGTTCAACATGAAATTTAATTTGATTTAATTT